TGTATTAAATTGTAGCAGTGGGTACACAAAGTGTTACCCAATTCTCTATATTTTCCTAAAAAAAAAAAATTACAACTAGGAAACAGAGAGGGTAGTAGTCCTATGTAATCAAAGTGACACCCATCCCGGAGGAGATGACATGTTGAGTTGGGAGCCCCTGCCCAGGCATCTCTCCAACACTTGGGCAGGTTCCCTTACAATGTGGTGCCGATGACAACAGCCAACCCACCTCTCCTGGATGGAGACAAGGTTATCTTCACTGTCGTTTTCTCAGTAAATTATCATGGCTGCTAAAAAGTGGGCTTTTGAAAATCAGCTTGACTGATTTTTCAGCTGAGAGGGACCTTGAGTCATCACACAAGAGCTGGGCGGAGGGTGTTGCACCCCAGGTCTGGCCAGAGAGGGGGAGCTGTATTTGGAAGGCAGCTCCTTGGCTTTGGCTCAGAGATTGGCTGCTGCTCTGTAGCTCAGGGCATCACCAGTGGGTGTCACTGGCAAGTGGAAGAGAATGAGGGAGGGAGAGAGAGAAGGAAAAAAAAAGGGGGGGTGATTTATAGGAGGATGGGGAAAAGAAAAAGAAGAGGGTAAAATGAAGGACGCAGGTGCTTTGCTTTGTTGCTTCAAGGACCTGCTTATCTGCTTTCCTATGTGGAGCCTCCTCCTAGCTGCTCAATGCTCCACTTTAGTCTGCAGAGCTCCCCACCGTGCAGGGAGGGAGGGGTGGTAAAGCCGACAGTGGCGCTCAAACCAGACAGACCTGCCCTTCCATCACTGAGTCACTGGCAAGCTACTTAACCTTTCTGTGCCTCAGTTTTCTCACCTGCAAAACAGGCGCAGTACCTCTCAGGGTTGCTGTGGGGGTGGAACTGGTGCACGCCACGTCCTGACACCTCGGAGGCCCTGCATAAGCGGTGCCGGGTGCCTCGCCTCCCGCCGGGGCCAGTGGGTGGGTCGAGACCCTCGCAGTGCTGTCCAGCAGAACTTTGCGATGATGGCCGTTGAGCCCTTGAAATGAAATGTGTCTAGTGCGACCGAGGGACTGACTTTTTCACTTCATTCAATTTGGATTGCTTTACACTTAAACAGTCGTCTGTGGCGAGTGCTACCGTATTAGTGAGCACACAGCCTGGGGCGTTCGCGGGCACCAGGGTTATTCTTGGCGGTGACCGACCCCTGCCAGGCCGCTGGGCAGGGTGGCCCGTGCATGTGGACACTGCGAGGCGCCGGCTCCGCGCTGCGTCTACGCAGCAACCTCTGCCCCTAACAAACCCCTCCTGCGTAAAGCCGGGGCTGGCGGGAACACCCGGGACTGTCGTTCAGGCCCCGCGCTCCGGGTGGGAGCGGTTAAGGACCCCACCAACTTCCATCCCTCTCGCCCCCGACGCCCTGCACTCCCTCCGCCCGCAATCTTGTGAGTCCCTTGGGAATAGGGTGGGGACCCTCCGCGTCTCCGGCACCGGGCGGGGCCTCCACGGCCGTCGGCCGCGGGAGGCTCTGCATTTGCACGCCCATTTCACAGATGAGGAAACTGAGGCCCGCCGAGGTTCAGGGCACACGGCTGGAAACAGCGGAGCGCGAGCCGAAGAGTGAAGTCTCTGAAGCTCTGGTGACGCCACAGACACTTCCGTGGGTCGCGTTGTCAGGGCGCGCGGGGAAAAGCGGCTGGTAAATATTTGGGGCTGTAACCCGGGCTCCGGCGACTCCTCGTCACTGCGGTTCCCGGGCGGGCGCGTGGCGAGGGCGGTGTCTTGGGGACAGGGGCGTCCCCGGAGGACGGCCGGGATAGACCCGGAGGCCCCGGCTCGCGCGGCCCCGCCCCGGTCCCGCCTCCGCCTGCGCCCGGGGCTATAA